GGAGGGGATAATAATCAATGTAATGAAACAAGCTATATGAATGGTTGAATGTGAAGCTGATGATGTGCCCTGTAAACTTTCACTCAATGCAAAATAAAAACATTTAATTAAAAACAAAACAAAAACTAAACAAGCAAAAAAGAAAATCACTAATTGGAGAAGCCCTTCACAACTATCAGATCTTCTAACATACTTTCTGTTTTGTTGGTTGACATGATGCCTCCCCTTCATCCTGAGCATAGGCCATGTATTTGTTAAGTGTCTGTTTTTTAGGCCTTAGCAGTGGCAGCATAGCGTGGCCCAGCATGCATGTGATCATGCTGAGCTCAGGAAAGCCTTCACCAAACTCTAGTAGTTTAGCTCACCATCACAATTTTGTCCCTCAACCTTTCAAGCTTGTTTTCATTTTTCAGTAGCCCTTGCAATTCGTTCAAGTACTTTCTCTAATGCCTTTAGGTCTCAGAGGTGGAGCTAGAGTGGCTCATCCAGGATATGGAAAAAGAAACTAAAAAATGGCAACAGGAGAAAAAAGAAGCCCAAGAAAGACTAAAAACACTGAAGAAGAAAGTCAAAAGGCTTCACAATGCCAGTGAAACGTAAGTAACAATTGAAAGGCAACAATTGCTCATTGTTTTTTCAGAAAAATATTTTAGGTTTTCTTTTTCTCGTTATTTTAACATATCTGATGATAACTCGTTTTCCAACTGTGTCAAGCAGTGTGAGAATCTACAGATAGTGTTTCTGATATTGCTTTCTCTCTGTTTTTAGCTCATTTAAAAACTCATCTATTGTAGAATTAGCTCACCTTAGATTTTTTTCTAACCATGTTTTGGGATAAAGTATATAAAAATGGAGGTAGCATGGGACTGAGAATTAGTAAAGGACTGGCTTCTTTCTAAGTCCTAACACTGCCCCTTACTGGGAACGCTACCCTTGACCCTCATTTTCCTTACCTGTAAAATGAGGCTTAGACAACAGCTAAGATTCTTTCTAGCACTAAGATTCTGTGATGATTGCCTAACTGGTAATTCTTTTCATCCGGAATCTTTAAAATATTGAAGTTTGTTCCTATAGTATGAAGGGTTTGGTAATACATACAGAATCTGGATTTAATTGCCAAGTGAGTTATATCTTAGTTATCTAGTGCTGCTATAACAGACTATCACAAGTGGGTGGCTTTAACAAACAGAAATTTATTTTCTCACACTTTAGGAGGCTAGAAGTCCAAATTCAGAGTGCCGGCTCTAGGGGAAGGCCTTCTCTCTGTGTTGTGTTGGCTCTGGGAGAAGGCCTTGATCTCTTTTCAGCATCTGTTCCTGGGTTCCTTGGAGACCTTCATATGGCAGCATCTGTCTTCCCCCATCTGTGCTTGCTTGCTTCTGTGCCTAATCTGCTCTTTTTATAACTCAAAAGGGATTGGCTTAAAACACATCCTACACTGATAAGGTCTCATCAGCATAACAGAAGAAGCCCCTATCCCCAAAAGGGATTACATTTATAGGTATAGGGGTTAGGATTTATACTTTTACCTGCTGCCCCCCCCCAATTCGTGTCTTTCCCACATACAAAACACATTCATCTATCACATCATCCCAAAAGTCTTACCCATTCTACCATCAACCCTGAATCCAAAATGTCATCTTCTGTATCATCTAAATCAAGTATGACTTGTGAATGTGTTCCATCTGTGAACCTGTGAAACCTACGAGTTAATCTGCTTCCAAACATTGAGGTAGGCACAAGATAGACATTTCCATTACAAATGGAAGAAATTAAAAGGAAAGAAGTGTTCATTGGCACCAAACAAGCCCAAATCCCAGCAGAGCAAATTACGTTAGCTCTAAGGCTTTAAAATAATCTTCTGCTCTTTGGGGCCATATGGGCTTATCCTCTAGACTTTGGGTAATGGCCATGGTATCCTGATTCTGGGTGGAAGCCAGACCCTTCAGTCCTGGGCATGGGCCCACCTGCATTCCAGGCGCAGAGGGACAGTAACTTTGTTCCCTTAGCTTTGTGTAGCCCCATTTTCCTAATCCATTTCAGGGCTACCCCACCCCATTTTCCTTGGGGTGCCTCCATCTCTTGGTCCTTGTGTATGGCAGTCCTACTCAGCTTTGGGTGACAGCGCCATCATCTTGGCCCAAACCTAAATGGCAGCCCATACTGTAGAACCAAGGTGGTGGAGAGATCTCTTTGAAACCTAGGAGGCAATTTTCCAACCCTTTGAATTGGTGGTGGTGGTGCCACCCTTTGAAATGAAGTCCTGGTCTTCATTTCTGTCTGCCATAGGCCCTTCCTCCGGCATTTCTACTAATCTCCAAACTGTTGCTACCTTCCTTTTCTTGGAAGACAACATATTCACAACCAAATCGCTCCAATGGCCCATTCATTTCCTGGCCAATTTCCAGAATTCCAGAAGGCAGTACTTTTCCTTCTTTTTTTACTGTCTCGACCCTTTTCTACTGCAGTGGTTGAATATAGACCCATCAGTAACAGGCTTAATCTCTTGAACAAAAGATTGAGTAGCCACACCATTGATGAGAGGTTTTATAAGACAGTTTTCCTTAGTTTGTACAACAGAGTTTTCCAAATCTTTAAAGTTCTGGTTTCATTTTTTATACGATTTATTTTTAAGTCTATTTCCTCCTGCATTTTACTGTAAGCAGTCAGGAGAAGCCATGCTTCCCATTTACGATCTTGCAGAGAAATCTATTGGGCCAAATATCCAAGTTCATCACTTAAAAATTCTACCTTTCATCAACATTTGACCATTATTCAAACAGTTCTTTGCCACTGCATAAAAAGCATCACCTTTCTCCAGTGTCTAATCACATGTTCATCATTTACCTTTAAAGCCTCCACAGAAGTTCATTTAACATCTACATTCCGAGCAGCATTCTGTTCAGCTCCCATCCCAGCCCCCAGTTCTTTTTTAGCCCACATCAGAATGGCCCTTAATTCTCTTTAGGCAAACTAGATACTTAATATGAAGTATATAAAAATTCTTTTATCATCACCCAATTCCAGAACTACTTCCACATTTCAGGTATCGATTAGAGCAGCATTCCACTCCCAGTACCACATTCTATCTTAGTCTCTTAGTGCTGCCATAACAGAAATACTTCTAAGTGGGTGGCATTAGCAAACAAATGTATTTTCCTCACAATTTAGAAGCCTGGAAGTCCAAATTCAGGGCACCAGTTCTAAGGGAAAGCTTTCTCTCTGTTGGCACTAGGGAAAAGGTCTTTGTATCTTTTCAGTGTCTGTTCCTGGGTTCCTTGGATATCTTCATGTGACAACATCTATCTCCCCTCATCTGTGTTTGCTTGCTTGTGTGGCTAATCTGCTCTTTTTATATCTTTCTTTCTGCACTGTTATTACCTCATTAGCATAACAAAGAAATCCCAGTACACAGATGGGATTTACATCCACAGGTACAGGGGTTAGGATTTACAACATATTGTTGGGGGTCACAGTTCATTCCATAACATGGACAGGTTTGCTTTATGATCTTCCATGATCCAGTCCTGACTCCCTCTCCGCTGAACAATGAGTGATACTTTGTGTGATTCCTCCACTGAACTGTATCTGTATCTGCTGCTGAAATTAACTACTGTTTTATTTACTCGTGATCCTGCCATCTGGACCCAGATCGTCTGGGCAGTTCTGCTGGTCTTACCAGTGGTCCCTCATTCACCTGGCGAGTTGGCTGGGGCTGGGCTCAGCCTGGATGCTGGGGTGGCTGTGCCTGTGCTTTTCTCCATGTGACCTCCAGACGTGACTTTTCTCTCTGTGGTCTCTTCATGTGGTCTCGAGCGTGGTGGTCAGCTTCTTTTGTGGTGGCTGTGGGCTCCCAAGAGTGTAGTCCTGCCAGGCCTTCTTAGGGTTCAGACCCAAAACTGAAACATCACTTCCGCCGTCTTGTCTTGTATAAAACAAGCTGTGGCTCAGACTCAGAAGGGGCGGGGGCTCTACAAAGGCATGGATAATGGAAGGAATGGTTCATCTGTGGCTACAGGAACACAATCAGTTTTCAAGGACATTGGTGGTTTTCCTTTTCACAGTGCCAGTTATCAGTTGACTTTAATTCTGTGTCTTGCCAGGATTACATTTGGGGAACTTTTTATTATGTTCTAAGTAGTTTCATTGATAGAACACAATTGGGAAACTACAGTGTCTGTAAAGCATTTAGCATTTGAGTTTGTACAGTCTTAATCATTTTAAGTTATTCCAGAATGCAGAGATTTATACTTAATTCATATTTTCTGTGTACGCAATACAGAAAAAAATTTTCTGTGCTAGCATCAAAATTAAACATACTGAGGAATGACCTTAGACGTTTTTTCACTTTCTTGAATGTATTTCTTTGCCTTTTTCTGTCACAATTTAACGGTAATCCATAGACTTCTCTGTGTTTGCTGCACTTTGGAAATAAATGCTTTACAGCTAAAATTTTACATTTAAATTCTTAAATCTTAAAACATTTTGGATCTCTTTCTTAGAGACGTGAAAATGATTTGAGGAGTGATTTTGTTTCAGTCCTCAGATCACACAGTGTTCATTAAGAAATTGGTAGGACCTAACGATTGGTGGGATGATGTGCAGCACAGAGAACTGTGACAGAAGATGGACATGGCATAAAAGAGAGTCACCCAGCATTGGGTGTTTAGAGGAGGGAGGAAGTGCTACAGTAGTAGTAAAATAGCATTTTAAACTCATTGGTAGGTTCCCAGCAATGAAAACTTGAGGCTTTTTTTTTTAATCAAGTAGAGATTCCAGGATAACATGGCTGAAGAGACAAAGCCAGTCTGGTACAGGGGGTTGCTTAAGAAACAAAGATTTACATACTTGTTTTGAAATGTTAAACAGAGTTTGTGTGTTTTTAAGTGGACTTAAGTTCTATTTTGAAAGACTAGAATGCTATTTTTAGTTTGGGAACCACTGGTTATGCCATTGAAAGTTCCCATGATGCCTATATTTGCTTGTCTCGAGTTGTAACCATCTTGAGACACGTTCCATGCAGAGGGCTGGAATAGGATGGTTTACACTGTATGCATGTGTCTTAGAGGGAAGAGAAAGGTGGTGTGTCCTCCAGGTGTAAGGGAATTTTGCATGTATATTCCGAGGAAATGACCCGAAATTCTTTGCCTATTTAGACAGTACTAGAAATGAAGCAAAATGTAGAAACGTATAAAGCATTTAAGAATTGTTTGCATGGATAATGGGTGGAATTCACTGTGGGGTCGTGTTTGGAAACCATCTTTGAAATTTAATTAAAATTTGGTGATTATGGTTTTATAGGTGTGCCCAGAAAAATGATGAAAAGGATGAGGAACATGGATTACATCTGGATGAGTCCCTTGAAATCAGGCAAATTAAGCTTAAATTAATCTTTAATATCTTACTATACTTTTAATACCATAGGCACAAGGCTTCTAGATATATAAATACACTAGGCTTCTAGATATATAAATATATTGCTGCTTTTCTGTTAACTTTAAATAATTATGTGGGCAAGTTTCTATTTTCTTTAAATATCTTTCTATTTTGTGAGATTCCTGTTTTTATTTCAGTCTCGGTATAAAAAATCCTGAGCTACTTATTGTCTATATTACTCCTTTTTATTTTTTCTTAAATTAACTTCAATCTAAAATGTGTTTTAAAAACTTTTTCTTCTGTGTTACTTGAAAGAAAAATTTTACTCTACAATTAATACTGATAGTTTGTCTCATCATGCTGTTCTACTATTACAGGTTCATTAAAGAATTTTTGTTATGAACCTATAATAAGTTTCTGTTCAAACTTTGCCAATAACATGTTTTCATATACTGGTAACCAGTATATTCAGTATTAAACAGTTGTATTTTTTTTTTTTTCTCACTATTATCCCATGTATACAATTTCCAGGGAGGGAACCCCTGGCTGGCACATATAGCTAAGTGGTCAAGTGCTAGCCAGAAGTTTGGTGGTTCACCCAGAGGCACCTCGGAAGATAGACCTGGTGATCTGCTCCCAAGAGGCCCTGAAACTATGGAGCAGTTCTACTCTGCACACATGGAGTCTCCCATGAGTCAGAATTGACTCGGGGACAACTAACAGTAACAACATACACATTTCCATTCACTTCACGGCCCATGGCCGCCTTTTTTAACCACCCCTCTATCGAACATTTTGTTTTATTTTGTATTTTAGTTTTTTCTAAAAGTGTTGTTATGAACATAGAAATTAATTTCCTCCTTTGGATTATTTCTTTGTAGTATGCGTCAAAAAGAATTACTGGGTTAAAGGAGGGAGGATTGTTTTATAAAGTTTGATGACGTAGTCAGAGCACATTCTACCACCCTTACAAAGACGTGAACTAGTACTGATCCTCTCCTGTGTCTCAGCATTACCCACCAGATACTTTCTTCCTCTGATGGCTACTAGAGCAAAGAGCACCCGTGGTTCTGTGTGCTGTGTGGTCCAATACTAGGCATGGAGTTACTCTACCAGATGTTATGTAAGGCATTTGGGGGCATGATTCCAAAGCTGACCTGGCTTCAGCCTTTATAATCTCATGGTTGAATTGTTTTTAAGAAAGTTTTTCCTTTTTCTTTAATATTTTCAGAAACACATTTGCAAATGAGAAAGTGAAATTGGAAGAAAGCATAAAGAAAAGGAAAGAAGATTATGAAGCAGTCCGTGAACGATTCATGGATGCAGAGGTGAGTCCCAGGCTGAGGTGCTCATGGCATTGGGATCTGACAGGGCTGCGGGATGTCATTTGTTTGCTGTTGTGTGTTTTTCATTACTCTGGAGACATCACAGCAATACCAAAGATTGTGCAGGGCAAGAACTATACTTTCACCTGTAACCTGGCCTCCCTCAAACCACTTCTTTTGCTTGTATCATTTTGAAGTCCCTGGATGTGGGAAATGGCTAAGCGCTCAGCTGCTGGCTAGCAGTTTGAACTCCCCACAATCACCTTAGAAGACAGGCCTTGAACAGTCTCCTTCTAAAACGTCACAACTTTGAAAAGGCTGCAGAGCAGTTCTACTCTGTACACTTGAGTTAGAATCATCTTGACAGCAACTAACCACATACTTTTTTTTAGTTTATATCCTCACTTATGTGTGAACTAGATGTACTATTGAGTGTACATCCAATTTCCCTACCCACTTTCCTTACTTACCATTAGAATTTAAATATTTCCCATGCTGTACACTTATTGAAGCTGTTGTTGTTCTTAAGTGCTGTCAAGTTGGTTCCAACTCATAGTGAACCTTTGTAGGGTTTCCAAGGAGCAGCTGGGTATGTTAGGCCCCCTAGTGGCCTAATTCAGTAGGAGACCCCAAAAAGATCATCAGGACTCGAGTTCGATGCAAAAGCAAGAGGTTTATTTACCAACGCGCTGGGGTCCACCTTCACAGACTCCTAAAACCAGGAGACAAAGGTGACATTTGCCAACGCGCTGGAGTCCACCCTCACATAGACTCTTGAAAACAGGAGTTGAGGGCGATCCCGACTCACTATACACACAAGTTTTTATAGGGTTTCAGGGGGCATAATTGCACAGTACCATAGATACAGTTTTTGATTGGTTAACAATTGGCAAAGTATGAGATGTTACAGTTTAATTGGTCAGTGCTGGTGGTCTTTGTTCTTAGGCTAGGGCAAAGGAAAACATCTGGCTTCTGGCCTTGGGTTGTTCTGTCTATTACTTATCTATGGCTCGCTGTTGCTAGGGGTAAAAGGATATTCTAAGGCAGCATGAGCTGATTTAGCACGTTCCTGGAACAGGAGGACGTGTTCAGGCTAATGTACAGAATGGAGATTGACCTTGTCTCTGGAGGGAACTAAAAACTGAGGCCTAGTCTATTTAAAGTGCTTCTTGAAGCCTGACTAAAGTTTGGTCAAGTAGCTAGGCAAAATCAGTTAGGGCCTTACAGGTACATGTTGAATGGCTCCATCCTATTCAACAAATCATGCACTATGATGTAGCTAACCATAAAACAGTGTTCTCAATACCTGAAAAGGAAATTTTAAAAATTTCTTGTTAAGACTACATACACTCCACTCTCCTGTACCCACCCCCAAGAAAGAAATACCTATGTCAGTTTACTATTTGAGAAACTACAGAGTCAAAAATCAAAATAGTGAAGTCTAGATATATTATAATTACACGTATTTAGTCCTTGCAAAATGGTTGTCTATTCTAATTGAGAAATAAATATTTGTGTCTTGAGTATACTGAGAAAATAAGATTAGTTTATGCAGTTCCATAAAACACGAAGCTTTTCTGTTGCTGTCAGTTCATAATTGAAGATTGACTATACAGCTGCTTCTGAGGAGTGAAAGGACAAAAATAGCCCAAGAGCCTGTCTTAGTGTCTTAGTGCTGTGATAACAAATACCACAAGTGGGTAGCTTTAATGAATAGAGATTCATTTTCTCACAATTTATGAGGCTAGAAGTCCATCCAAATTCAAAACCCAAACTCTGGAGGAAGGTGTTCTCTATCCACTCTGGGAGGAAACCCTGTGTCTTAATTATCCAGTTCTGCTGTAACAGAAATACCACAAATGGGTGCCTTTACAAACAAATTTATTTTCTCGAAGTTAGGAGGCTAGAAGTTATATTCAGAACACCGGTTTCAAGGGAAGGCTTTCTTTTTGGGTTGGCTCTGGAAGGAAAAGTTCTTGTCTCTTCAGCCTCTGCCTCTTGGCTCCTTGAGGGTCTCCATCTGTCTTGGAATCTCTCTTACCCCATCTCTGCTCACTCACTTCCTAATTTCCTTTATGTCTCAAAAGAGATTGACTCAAGCCATGCCCTACACTAATCCTGTCTCATTAACAGACCAAAGACAACCTATAGCTAGAGACATAGAAGTTAGGATTTACAGCTCATTGTTTTGGGGGAACATAGTTTAGTCCATTACATTTCACCATTTGGCCCCCAAAATGCATGTTCTTGCCATCACATAGTCCCAAAAGTCTTAATTCCAAACCCAAAATCTCATTTTATGAATCATCTTAGTCAGATACGGGTGAGACTTTAGACATGTTCCATCCAGGGACAGAATTCTTCATCTATGAACCTATGAAACCTAGATTGTAAATTTTCTGTTTGCAAAGTAGAGTGGTCGAACAGGCACAGGTATAGACTTCTCCATTACAAATGGGAGAAATTGGAGGGAAAGAAGGGATAGCAGTTACCAAACAAGTCCAAAGCCCAGGAGAACAATTCACATTAGCGCTCAGGCTCGAAAATAATCCTCTGTTCTTCAGGACATGTGGACAATGGCCCTGTCCTCTGGGTATTGGTCATACCATCTGGATTCTAGGTGGAGACCCCTCAGCCCTAGACTTCAGCTCCACTTTCCATGCCCACTGGAATGGCAACTTTGCTCCCTCCAAATTAGGTGTTCCAATTCTTCTAGCCCATTTGAGTAACAACCATACCCCTTTGGCCCTAGGAGACCCTATTTTTGGGCATGATAGCCTCGGCCTCTCAAGTTTGGAATGTGGCCCCTTCCCCATGGCACACCTTAACGGCAGCCAGAAATGAGTTGACAAAGATCCTTCGACCTTTACGAAGCTCTGGTTCCACCCTTTGAGTTACAGGAGACCGTAGCCCCACCCTTTGAAGCCACGGTGGCCCTGCTTCCCACACTCCTTCTACAGGTTCTGCTAATCTCCACATTGCTCTAGGGTTGGCCCTTTTGTTTTCTTAGAGGACAAAAAAATGTAGCTCCTTTGTTCTATTGCCTACCTATGTAATTCTAAGAGCTAGAAAAGTACCCTTTCATTTTTTTCTCTATCCTCTTCAGTCTAAGCTGATAGATTTTCTGCTGTGGTAGTTGGTTAGGGTTAATCTTTTTAACAAAAGATTATATAGCCATGTTCTTGATGAACCTTCTAGGACACATATCCTTAGTTTGTACAACAGAAGTTTTCAGATCTTTCAAATTCTGTTTCCATTTTGCACAGTTCATTTTTAAGTCTATCTCTTTCACATTTTACTGTAAGCAGCAAGGGGAAACCACAACCCCTTTAAGATCTTGCTTGGAAATCTCCTCAACCAAATATCCACACTTATCCGTTACAAGTTGTAACTTTCCATTAAACATTTGAACATAATTCATACAAATTCTTTGCCACAGCATAAAAGTTCACACTTTTTCCAATTTTCAATCATGTATTTTATGTTAAGATCCCATTAAAAGTTCAGCTGGAGTCCTGGTGTGGTGTTACAGCAATGCACTGGGCTGCAAGGTCGTTTTGAACCACAAGGCAGCCGTTCCTCAGAAAACCTACACAGGGTCTCTATGGGTCGTAACTGACTTGACGTCACTTAGCAAAAAGCATATCTAATGATGACCACATTTCTAGCAACAACCTTCATGCGTCTCTCTTTCCCAATCTCTGCTTGCTTTTTTTTTTTTTTTTTTTCAATGTTTTATTGTGAATTATACGATAGTTTACATGGGAGAACTTTAGTTTTACATTCATTCCATCTTATATCATCTCACTGCCATGGTTCCAATCCCCTCCATGCATCATCAACCACCCAAAGGGTATATCCCAGAAACCCGCCCCTACACATCCCCCTCCTCCTCCCAGTTTTTGGCCCACAATTCCTTTCCCTCTCTGGGTCCAAGGTCCCCAGTCGCTTCATCACTCCACATCATCATCTCTGTTTCTATCTCAGGCATCTCTGTTTCTCTGGGTAGGGTCCCGCTCTGGGCTCTTCTCCGTTGATGGTCCCAGAGGCCTCCGCTCCTATCCTGGAGAATTAATTACTTCCTTCCTTGTTTAAAAAAGTTCCACCTTTGCATTTCCTACCCTCATACTCCGTCCTGATAAGTATTATTCACTACAGTATCACGAGTTACCCATCTGTATCTCCTTTCATCAGCTCCGCCCAGACAGATTGAATAGTACCTACTGGAGATTCTGCCTTCTGCCATGCTCCCTAGCACCAGGTTCCCTCTTGAAAGCTTGTAAGCCAGTCACTTCTTTCCTTTGTAGTTCCCCTCTCCCCATTTGAGTATCCAATGTCCAATCTGCCCTTCTCCATCCACTCTGTGTGGGGGTGTGTGTGTGTGAATGTTTCTTGCTGTGTGGACTTGTTCCCTCTTTTGAGTCGCTGCTCCGTAAGTATAGGTCAAGTTCATCAGACCGTATCAGCTCACTCTTTTTTTTTTTTCCCAATCTTCTTTCCTCTCCTGATTGAGCTCCGATCATCCAGTCATCCGGTCCAGGTCACGTGGGTATCATCTGCAAGTGTGGGCGCTCCTGTGTATATGTCCTCTCTTCCCGTCAGCCGGTAGCTCCACTCTCCTCTCGAGTCCTCCGTGGCCACGCCACTGACTCTGGGCCCAAGAGTCCCCAGGCTTCTTCACACTGCTTGCCAACCAGGTCCCCAACTGGGTGCACAGAAGTCCATTTCTGCTTGCTTATTTAATCTCTTTCACACCTGGGAAAAAGTAAAAAACACATGGCTCCATCCATCCCCAGTAGCAAACTACTTAGCTTGGCTGAATAATTCATTGCATTGACCACTCAAAACTTAGACATCATACTCACAGTTAGGGGTTTATTAGAGAACTTAACAGGTTACAATTCAGAGTCAGAAATGTTCAGGGCACAGTTCTTCCAGTCAGGCCATCCTCTCCTCAGCCATGCCCATAGACAAGCCTCTCTTTCTGCCTTGGCAGTGTTACAAAGCCCTTTTAGGGCTGCTGATAAATACCCACAGGGCACACCACTCCACTGTAAGCTTCAGCCGAAACAAACCTAGATCCCAAATCAAGTATCTAGAACCACTCTACCCTGTGAGCAAGTCTCCTATCCAAAGTCACTCAGCTTTCCTTGCCTCTATTGCTCTGTCTTTTACTGACTTTTGGTTCTCCTGTTGGTGCTCTGCCACTCCTCCATTGTCACAACTTTCTGTCCTTGAGTTCAATGTGCAGGGATCTCTGGATCCAAAGGATGTGCTCCACTCCTGGCTCTTCTTTGATGGTAGTTGTGAAGTGCCGTCGAGTTTGTTCCAACCTATAGCGACCCTGTATAGGTTTTCCGAGAGCAGCTGGTGACCTTGAACCACCAATCTTGCAATTCAAACGGCTTTGCAGTCTGACACATTAGCCCACAGCACCACACCAGGACTCCTTGATGGTAGTGAGATCCCACAATTCCTGCTTCTGAGATGGCATGTTTAAAATAGTTTTAAGTTGTTACTATCACAATTAATTGTGTTAACCATCAGAGTTGAAGGAGCTCGGGTCGTGTAGTGGTTATGAATTGGGCTGCCAACCTCAGGGTCAGCAGTTCGAAACTACCAGCAGCTCTGCGGGAGAAGATGAAGCTTTCTGCTCTCATAAAGATATACAGCCTCGGAAACCCTGTGCAGGGTCACTATGAGTCGGAACTGACTCCATGGCACATAACAACAACAACAGTTGAATCATATCATCCTATCAGCATCTTTTCCCACCTTTTCTTACCCAGACTCCTCAGCAAAAAGTTGTTTGGTTGGAATTACAAACACTATGGATAGAGGAGCTTGATGAAGTAGTACCAATACTCTGGGGTATTCACCCACACCTGTTCTGCCTGAAGGGTCCTGCCAAGGTGACTGACATCTGTGTTAAAACCAGGCCCTTCTACATTTCCTACACTGATTCTCACATTGTGCTTTAGTTAATGTTTTCTGAAAACATTCCCCAGAGGCTTCTGAAGCTGAGAACAAGTATGTTGTTGTTAAGTGCCATGGAGTCAGTTCTGACCCATAGCAACCCTGTATAAGATTTACTAGGTGCAGCTGGTGAGCTTGAACCACCGACCTTGCGGTTCAAACCAACTTTACAGTCCAGCGCATTAACTCACAGCACCACACCAGGATAACGAGAACAAGTGTACTGTTGGACTTTGCAATAGGGAGCAGCCTCGTGGTCATTCTGTGGTTCCTCTGCTTTCATTATCCCAGGGCAGGACCCTAGACACAGGCAGAAAATCACAGGTATTTCTCTCATCTGCGAAAAGCATAAATTGAAGGTACATATTTTTAGTGTCTTTTTTTTTTCCTAATTTCAAATTCAATTATTTTAATTAATGTTTCACCTGGACAAAATGACAATGTAATCAAGTTCTGGTAATTGTCATCATATGTCATTTAGGGAGAAGTCTGAAACTAGTTTAGAACATTTAAATTTTAACTTTAAGGAGCTCTCTGGATAGCTTAATGGTTAGGTACTCTGGTGCTAAACAAAAAGTTGGTGGTTCAAATCAACCCAGCGGCTCTAAGAGAGAACAGCCTAGTCATTGGCTCCCATGAAGATTGTTGTTGTTGTTGTTATGTGCCATGGAGTCGGTTCCGACTCACAGCGACCCTGTACAGGGTTTGTGAGGTTGTAAATCTTAATGGGAGCATAAAGCCTCATCTTTCTCCTGCGGAACAGCTGGTAGGTTTGAACTGCTAATCCTGAGGCTAACAGCCCTGTTTTGGAAGAAGTGCAGCCAGAGTGCTCCTTGGAGGCCAGGATGGCTAAGCTTCGTCTCTCCTACTTTGGACATGTAGTCCGGAGGAAACAATCGTTGGAGAAGGATGTCATGCTGGGTAGGGTGGAGGGTCAGAGAAAAAGAGGAAGACCTCCAACGAGATGGATTGGCCAGGTGGCATCATTGATGGACTCGGGGGTGGCAGCGTTGGTGAGGTTGGCCCAGGATCGAGCATTGTTTCGTTCTGCTGTGCATGGGGTCGCTATGAGTCGGTTCCGACTCGATGGCACCTGACAACAACAACAACAATGCTACCAGAGCAGCTTATAGAGTCCTAGGGGACAATTCTGTCCTGTCACATAGGGTCATTATGAGTCGAAACTGACTTGACAGTAACCACCACCAACAACCTTTAACATCATTTTTGTTTCTTGCTTTTAAAATACTTTAAAATGTTCTCTAATGGCAGGTATCTGTGCTTGTTTGCTGGAAGGAGCTCTTCGTTTGGAAATTACAGGTCATTAAATCACAAGGAGAAGACTACGTGAAGTGCCTGAAAAGCAGGCGCAGGTACAATGCCACCCATGTGTGTCTTTCCTAGTGTGTCCTTTAGTAAATAAAAGTTGTTACTAAGCCCAGAAAAACCATTTTCTATTAGATAGGACCATTTAAATAGTTGATACTGCTCAGTGGTAGAAAAATCAGAACAAACAAAAATGATCAGAATTACCCCTAATTCTGAATGAAGAGATAATTCACTAATATTTTGGAATAAGCTCATTAAATTTTATTAGAAAGAACAAAAATCTATAAATGTTCCTATATTTTTCACTGACTCACATAAAAGAAAAATCCTTTGATATGAATGATGACATTTCTCCAACCTAATTTTGAAAGGTTAAGTTGATCCCAGCATACAGAATGTGCCATGATTTATGAACTACCACTGGAGAAGGGATAGTTTGGTGGTTTGCAAATTTTTGTGAATATTAACTGCCCTGCACTGAATACAGTCTTATAGCTAAATTCCTGTGCACAGTAGAGTTTCTGTACAATAAAAAGTGAGATCAGTTTTAAGCTTTTGTAAACATTTTGCTAAGTTGTTTTCCATAGTAACTATTACTTAGGTAGCATAATGGTTATGAGTTGGGCTGCTATTCTCCAGGTCAGTAGTTTGAAACTACTAGCCATTCGTGGGAGAAAGATGAAGCTTTCTGCTTCTGTAAAAATTTATAGCTTTGGAAACCCTGTGTAGGGTCACTGTGAGTCAGAACCGACTCCACGGCACACTACCACCACCAATCTTAATGGCAGAGTATGAGACTTGCTAAGAAGGATGTTCATATATGCTATATATATATTTTTTAATGCTACATAATCTTTACCTGGTTTTGTTTGGTTTGTTTTTTAGAATAAGGTTTACTTCAGGCCCCTAGAGGATCTTCTTCAGTCTAGCGTTTAACATTGTTTTACATGTGACTTAATATTTTTCTTGTGTTCCTTTTATTATGTTCTACCGCAGAGGTTTTGTTTTTTTAATCCCAGGGTTTTCCTCTTTCTGTGCCTTTTGATTCAAATTTCAGACCGTGATGCCACCAGTGTGGTAAACTGACAGATGAGTGGTGTCATGTTGTGGTGGCTTGTTGCTGTGATGCTGGAAGCTAGGCCACTAGCATTTTAAATACCAGCAGGATTTCACATGACAGACAGGTTTCAGCAGGACTTTCAGATGAAGACACACTAGGAGGAATGAGAGGCGGACTACTTCTGAATGTTTAGCCTCTAAATACCTTACAAATGGCAACTGAACGTTGTCAAATATAGTCAGAAGATGAATGAGCCCCTCAGCTTGGAAGGCACTCAAACTATGTCTGAGGAAGAGCTGCTTCCTCAGACTAGAGTTAACTATAATGATGTTAATGGAGCAAAGCTTTCAGGATCTTCATTTGCTGATGGGGCACAATTCCAAATGAGAAGAAACAGCTGCAAACATCTATTAATAATTGGAACATGGGATATACAAAGTATGAATCTAGGAAAATTGAAGGTGTTAAAGATGAAATGAAACACATAAAGATGGATAATCTTTGCATTAGTGAGCTGATATGTATTGGTATTAGCCAGTTTGAATCTGACAATCCTATGGTTTACTATGTCAAAAACATCAAATTGAAAAGGAATGGCATCACAATCCTCATTAAAAAGAACATTCCAAGATCTGTCTTGAAATATAGTGCTGCCTATTATAGGGTAGTATCAAATGCCTATAAAGAAGACCTGTTGTTACTACTATTGTTCATATTTATATACCAAACACTAAAGCCAATAATGATGAAATTGATGAATTATACTAACTTGCTTGGAGTCTTGGTGTGGCTCTGTGGGTTAATGTGCCAGACTGCAAAGCTGTTTGAACTGCAAGGTCGGCAGTTGAGCTCACCAACTGCTATTCGGGAACCCTGTACAGGGTCGCTATGGGTCAGAACTGACTCGATAGCACTTAACAACAATCAACTTGCTCAGTCTAAAAATGATCAAGCATGCAATCGAGATGTATTAGTAATTAGTGGTGATAGGAATGCAAAGGTAGGAAACAAAGAGGGAGGATCCATAGTTGGAAAATACAGCTTTGGTGATGGAAATGCTGCTGGAGATCGCATGACAGAATTTTGCAAGACCAGCAACTTATTCATTGCAAATACCTTTTTAAAACAACAAAGAAAGTGATTATACACATGGACCTTACCAGATGGAATACACAGAAATTAAATTGACTACATGTGTGGGAAGAGAAGCTAGAAAAGCTCAATATCATCAGCAAAACAAGGCCAGGGCAACTGCTCATGTGCAAGTTCACGCTGAAGCTGAAGAAAACTAAAATAAGAGTCCACATGACTTTGACTATGTTGTTATTAAGTGCTGCCCAGTTGGTTCCAACTCAGAGTGACCCTGTATAGGCTTAACGAGTGGTTGGTGATTTGAACTTCTGACCTTGTGGCTTGCAATCCAGTGCTTATCCTATAGTGCCACATCATCTTGAGTATACCCCACCTAAATTTAGAGACTATCTTAAGAAGAGATTTGATATATTAGATACTAATGACTGAAGACCAGAAGAGTTGTGGGATGGTTTCAAGAACAGCATTCAGAAGTAAAGCAAAAGGTCATTAAAAAGACAAAAATGGTTGTCAGAAGAGACACTGAAACTTGCTGTTGAGCGTATTGAAGGTAAAGTGAATGGAAAAACTGAGGAGGTAAAAAAGCTAAATAGAAATTTTCAAAAGGCGGGGCAAGGATTGCATGGAGGGGATTGTAACCATGGCAATGAGACGATATACGATAGAATGAATGTAAAACTAATGTTCTCCCATGTAAACGACCACATAATTCACAATAAAACATTTAAGAAAAAGGAAAAAAAACAAAAGGCAGCTCAGCGTATAAGACAGAGTCAAGTATTATGGTGAAATGTGCAAAGACTTGGAGTTAGAAAACCAAAGGGGAAGAACATGCTCAGCATTTCTCAGTCTAAAAGAACTGAAGACAAAAATTCAAGTCTTAGGTTGTAATATTGAAGAATTCTATGGATAAAGTATTGAATGAGGCTGGAAACATCAAAAGAAGATGGAATATACAGAGCCACTGTACCAAAAAGAAAGGGTCCATGTTCAGTCATTTCAAGAACCAATGATAGATACAGAAGCAAGAAGCCCAAGCTGCACTGAAGGCTTTGGCTTGGCATAAAAAAAGTTTCCAGGAATTGGCAGAATACAAATCTTTCAACAAACTGATGAAGCATTGGAAGCACTCATTCATCTATGCCTACAATTTTGGCGTATTGATTGGAAGAGATCCATATTTGTACTCATTCCAAAGAGAGGTGACTCAGCAGAATTCAGAAATCATGGAACAGTATCACTAATGTCACATGCAAGTAAAATTTTGTTAAAGACAATTCAAAAGCAATACACAGAGAACTGCCAGAAGTCCTAGCCGGATTCAGAAGAAGGTGTGAAACTAGGGATACCATTGCTGACATTATGTGGATCTTGGCTAAAAGTAGAGGATACCAGAAAGATGTTTACTTGTACTTTACTGAACTATGAACATGCCTTTGACTGTGTGGCTTATGACACCCTGTGGATAACATTGCAAAAGTGGGAATTCCGGAGCACTTAAACTGTATTCATAAGGAACCAGTACAGAGACCAAGAGGCAGTCATTAGAACAGAACAAAGGATACTGAATGGTTTAAAATAAGGAAAAGTGTGCACCAGGTTTGTATCATTTCATCATATTTATTCAATCTGTATGCTGAGCAAATAATTCAAGAAGCTGGAGTATATGAAGAACATGGTATCAGGATTGGAGGAAGGCTCATTAACAGTCTGTGATCTGCAGATGATACAACTTTGTTTGCTGGAAGTGAAGTAGACTTAAAATACTGATGAAGATCAGGGAGTACAGCCTTTAGTATAGATTGTACCTCAGTGTATACAAACAAAAATTCTCACTGGATCAATAAATAACGTCATGATTAATGGAGAAAAGATAGAAGGTTGTTCAAGACTTCATTTGCTTGGATCAACCATCAACACCAATGGAGGCAACAGTCAAGAAATCAAATGACATACTGCATTAGGCAAACCTGCACTCGACCTTTTTAAAGTGTTCAAGAGCAAATGTATCCGTTTGAGGAGTAAGGTGAGCCTAACCCAAGCCATGGTATTTTCAACCACCTCAGATGCATGTGAAAGTTGGACAGTGAATAAGGAAAGACCATAGGAGAATTGATGTATTTGAATTACTGTGTTGGGAGAAAAATATTAAAAGTACCACAGACTGCTAGAACAACAAACAAATCTGTCTGGGAAAAAGTGCAGCCAGAATGCTTCTTAGAAGCAAGGATGGCGAGACTTCGTCTCTCCTACTTTAGACATGTTTTCAGGAGAAGGATATCATGCAGGGTAGAGGTTCAATGAAAAAGAGGAGACTCACAATGAGATGAATTAACACAGTGGCAGCAGCAGTGGGTTCAAGCTTAACAATTGTGAAGAAGGACCAGGTAGTTTTGTTACGTTGTGCATTGGGTCGCTATGAGATGGAACTGATTCAATGGCACCTAACAACAACAATAACAACAGTTATAGACCAGAGATTCCATGGGTAATGGAAGAACAGTCTTAGTGTGTAGTTCTTTACATATTTCTTCATTTTCAATATTTTCACAGAATAAAAATTTTCTGACTAAAACTAAATTAGTATCCTGGTTCCAGTTATAGAGCTAGTGGTGGTGGTGGTGGTTATGTGCCGTGGAGTCGGTTCCGACTCATAGCGACCCTGTACAGGGTTTCAGAGGCTGTAAATCTTTACGGGAGCAGAATGCCTCATCTTTCTCCTGCAGAACAGCTGGTAGTTTCAAACTGCTGACCTTGCGGTTTGCAGCCTGATTTGTAACCACTATGCTACCAGAGCTCCTTATAGAACTAATACAAATATCTAAGCCAGGCATTTACCATAAAATGGGCATTAAGGCCTACTCATCTGGAAACTGGGTGTTCTCAGACCTCCTTTTATCTTAATAGTTTCAGCTTCTTCCCAAGCAGTAACTTTACCCCAGGCCACCCAGGAATAGCAAAAGAGCTGAAAAAAAAAAAAAAACAACAACAACCATTCCGGCATCTCTTTAAGATGTATAAAGATAACTGATTAATTAGGAATTAAAAGCTTGCCTCTTACTTTCAACAGCAAGATAAATGAGTAACTGAGATCATAAATTTATCCTAATTTATCAAGCCCTATTCTTAAAATATTGCAATGAGATTAAAGTTTTATTGGAATATTTTAAATGTTCCAGGCATTTTATTTTATTTTTGTTTCTAATGTAAAGAAAACTTACAGTATTAAACATAAAGATGTCAAAGGACAGTCAGATTTTCAAATTTTGGGTTAGAAGAGTGTTTGCTCTTTACACACCAACAACATAAAACTTGCTCAGGTGGTAAATTTGGAAGTTAGAAACTCTTGAAAACAAATTCTTTAAAATACTTTTTTTGGTCTGGTCTTTTAAAAGATATCTTTTTCATGTGTAAGTATTTCTTTCCATTTGTATTTGAGTGTTTTTAATTTTTAATTTCTAAAGCAGTTTCATATTTTTATACTGTTTCAGTGAGTTTGAAACATCTCTAGTGGAAGCTATCTTAGATGAGTGGGAATCCTATTTGTCTTGGGTTGAAGAAGAACTTGAGACGGCAGATGTAAGTTATAAAACATATAATCTGTCAAAATGTATATGATGGTTCTGTCAGGTGCCACCAGTGTCCTGTGGAAATACGTTTCATTTCTGAACTGCTCATAGAAACACATTTTATGTTGAGATTATTAAGAATTTTACATGGTATTTCAATAACCTCATAAGCATGCGAACAGTGAATAAGGAAGACCGTAGAAGAATTGATGCCTTTGAGCTATGGTGTTGGAGGAGAATATTGAAAGTGCCATGGGCTACCAAAAGAACCAATAGATCTGTTTTGGAAGAAGTGCAGCCAAGAGTGTTCCTTAGAGGCCAAGATGGTCAAATTTTGATTCTCATACTTTGGACATATTGTCAGGAGGGACCAGTTGCTGGAGAAGGCTATCATGTTTGGTAAAGTGGAGGGTCAGAGAGAAAGAGGAAGACCCCAATGAGATGGTTTGGCTAAGTGACAGCATCAGTGGACTCAAGCGAGGCAACAGTAGTGAGGTTGGCCCAGGATCAGGCAGTGTTTCGTTCTGCTGTGCATAAGGTCGCTATGAGTCAGTACCGACTTGATGGCACCTAACAACAATGATACTTTAGGTAACTGTCTTGAACTCTATGATTGATAAGGGTAAAGAGTTATGTGTTTGATAAGGCTATAGAGTCTTGTGATTAAGTAGTTCTTATTTTGATGTTACTTAAAAGAAATAATTGTATTAATAACTGGCATCCCAGTTATGTTTCCTGGACACTTATCTGTCAGTTGTCATGTATATTAAGAAACTAAGTATTAATTGACAGTGAACATTTCCCCTTGGAATTGAACACCCTCCCTTCTACTGCAGCCTCGGTTGGAAGAAAAAATTGAGGAAGCTAGAAGTGGTTCTGACGTCTTTGAAATTACTAGAATGTTCTCCCATCCAGCCTTTGAGCAGGTATGTCTATCGTAACTCCCCCGCCCCCCCCTTTTTTTTCCTGTTTGAAGGAAAGAAAGCAAAATGTCATGAATCATGACTTCTTTTTTTAACTGGCCAATGTCATTAATTGTTACTGCTGCTGTTTTCAGGGATTGATGATCTGATGGATTAAGAATTGCTTTAGTATTTTCCTTATCTGTGCCACTAGTTAACGTTTTAAGCTGCATAGCATACCTGTGTAAGTGGGGTATCAGTCTTTCTACATCTGTGTATGAGGATGGGATGGTGACAAACAAACCCCTGATATTTGTTCCAGTCACTTTCATATGCCAGGTCTGTCCCTTTCTTCTCTGGGTGCTGGAGTGGGGAAGTGTCTCCTCCATATAAACTAATATTCCACAAGGGGCACTGAGATTCAGATAGGCCATCTCTACTAATACCACTTCAGATAGAGTCTTGGTCTTCCTACATAACATAAGGTAATAAGAACAAGATTTAAACATCAGCATCTACTTCCTCATCAAATACAGAATCAAAACTGCTGGGCCTGAAACATACAAGGACTTTGTTAATCTGGCATATGATAGTTTACTGCTAATTTGAGATATTCGATGAATATTTTGAATGGTAGTGATTGCAGAACTACATCTTTTATTTTTAAATACGCAACACAGTAAAAAAAAAAAAAAAGCATTACTTGTATTCTGTGGTCTTTAAAATGTGACTAAACCTAGTGTCACTTTATTACCTTGGGGATTTACATAATCCTGAGATTTCGGCACAGAGTGAATGCTCAGTAAATACTAAATTGGGAGGTATTAAGTACAGAGAAGCTCATATTGTAAGAATTTGCAGAAGGACTCTATTCAAGAGTTATTAGAGACAGGTTTCAGAATGTTCTAGCGCTACATTGAAGTCTAGTTTCTTAAGCATAAGCATATCTAGTTCTCTGGCGCCTGCTTTGCACACCTTCCTGTTCCTTTCTGCCAGGCCTTTGCCAGGACTGTTCCCTAGCCTCATACACTGTCCTCACTCAGCATTCTGTTTTGCTGTGAAAGCACCATCAAAGTGTGCCCTCCACCTGTGGACCTCTGTCTCCTTACCTTAGGTGGCAAGCTCCCTGCAGTCAGAAGCCTACTCCAGAGCATCTTTTCCCCCCGCAGTGCTTTGTACACTAAGCGTTCAACAAGTATTCATCTGCAAAAAATCCCAAAAAGCGATAAAAATGTTTTAAGTGGAAAACTTTGATTGCTGTAAACTGAGTAACAAATAGTGTCTTAATTAGTATCAAATTTGAAGTCACTTGTCACAGATATTTCCAAGTGCTTATAATAGTTTTGTTGTTGTTAAGTGCCATTGAGTCGGTTCTGACTCAGAGCAACCCAGTGGTTCAAACTGACCTTGTGGTCCAGTGCATTATCCTGTAGTGCCAAGGACAGATAAAACCTTGGACCTGAATAGAAAAACCTTACATTTAATTTGTAACTATAGTAGTATCCAAAATCCTGGGGAACTGTTAGTGTGCCAGTAGCTTATGTAATAAGCATCTCTGAAAACATTCACCTTGTGTTTCATTTCTCCCTCATTCATTCCTTGGGTAATCATTGGTGACCAGATGTGGCCTGTGCCCTCAAGGTGCGTATGGTCTTGAGAGAAGACAGACTGTAATTACTCCAGTTACAAGCAAAGTGCGCTGAGTCTTTTCCTAGGAGCATGGAGAGCCAGAGCATCAGACCCAGATCTAGGGCTCTGGACTCTCCCTCAAAGATCTGAAATAGAAATTAGTCAGGTTGAGGAGGAAAAGGGGTGGACTGTGTGTGTGTGTGTTTAAGGGGGAGTGGGATGTGACCATGTTTGGAGGGTCTGATGCTCCAGATAGAAGAAACCATGTGTTCATAGGTAAGGAAGTACGGTTCTTGACTCTAAGAGAAGTTCAGTGTACAAAGGGGGGTAATAGCGAGAGAAAAGATACCCGTTTACCCAAGGGCCAGAACTCTAAAGCAAGTTAATCTTAGACTTTTCCTGAGGGCACTAGGAAGCTAGTATGGTGTCAAGTGAGGTGTGAACTCATATTTGTGTGTAATGAAAAGACTCTTGAGTACTACAGTGTGGAAAACTGGTGACCAGGACATGGGTTGTTTCTAGCTGACCAGTTCCTGCTTACAGCTTTTAGACATGTCCAAATAAGTGGGAAAGAGACAGAAATGGGAGTATTTAGGAAGTACCATTGAAAACACAATTTCTTCTCATGAGTTTGGGGCACAGGGTGCGTATGATTTGTCGAGAGACAAGGCAGGATGGAGGAGGCAATGTTGAGGCTGATGTTTGAACACATGGAGTTGCCTTAGAGTCCAGCCATGTGAATTTGCCCCTTTGGGAAATCAACATGTTCAGAGTTTTAGCTCAGAAAAACATTCTAGACTGAGACCTTTAAAGAAGTGGGCATTGTTAGCAGTGAGGCAGTGAAGATATGGGGAGGATGGCCGAAGGAGTGCCTGGGGCCCATCAAGGCCTAAAGTGTAGACACAGGGGAAAGGTCTGCCCAAGAGAGCCGAGGGGCCTCCAGAGAGGTGGGCAGGAAGCAAGCCAGGTGAACCATGGAGGAGCATGCTTTTGAGTAAGAGAATGTGACCAGCATATCTAGGAGGGTTGGGACAGCTGTTTTTGAGAAGTGAGTCAGTATTCACCTGGAAGGGGAATGGTTAGGAGTGCTAGCTGGAGAAGGGCAAGTGGATAGGTATTCTGTAAGGCTGTGTTTGACATTTGACATAGAAGATAATGAATTACAGAGAGAGTTATTTACAATATGGTTGAAGAACATCAAGCCCTTTTGTGGCCAGCGAAATCACGTGGTCTGGCCCTGTGCAGGCATCCGCAGTTCCAGCCATCACGTTAGGGGTGAGTTAATTAAATGTCTGACCAAACATCTCAGGTTAATTTTTAAGTTGATCGCTTTTAATGGCCCGCGAATGATGTTATAAATTTTGGCAGAAAAAAGATTCCCCACTTTTGGTTTAGAACTTAGAGTCCTACCCTTGTTCTGATATGTTATAATCAGTTATTTTTGTAGACAAAAATTTTAATGTACTGTAGTTGTTTCCTGTGAGTTTGAACATAGTTCTTACCAGTAAACCATTTGCCATCAAGTCAAGTCCAACTCACGACAACCCCATGTGTGTCAGCATAGAACTGTGCTTCACAAGGTTTTCAGTTGGCTTACTTTTCGGAAGTAGACCACTGGACCTTTCTTCAGAGCTTTTATTGTAGTGATGCATAAAGGTCTTTGCCTTTTGGTGTTTCCTAATTCAAGAAAGCCCTCTCTAAATGGTGTGCCTCCTATGTTGTGTCTCTCACAGTACCAACCCGAGTCTCCAGGCACTGATGAAAAGGAGACCACAGCTGACGAGGATGCCGTTGGTCACCCAGAGAAAGCTGCTGCCGAGCAGTCTGAAGTCACCCGGCTGTTAGCGTTTGCCAAGAAGACCGTCCAGGCAGCCCAGTCAAAGCAGAGCCCCACAGCTGATCAGAAGGCACCCTGTCCTCAAGGACGTGCAAGTCGTTCAAACCAGTCACTGAAGAAGCCGTTCAATAATATCATTGAGCACCTGGCAGTGGTGTTCCCAGACTACAGCAGGTATGACTGGACCATGCTTCTGACACTGTAAATCCCCTGCTATCCTCAGTTTTCCTATTAGAGACCAAAATGGAAAGGATTGCAGAAGTGTTTTATTCAGACAGGTGTCACATTTCCTTTCTTTTTTATAAACTTCATGTAAGCATTTTCAAATAGAGTAAGTCAAAAATCATCTGTACTCTGGCTGTAGAATTTATTTTAATCAACTTTTAGAAAAGACCAATACATCATTTTTCTATGTAATCTCCTTGCTTTTCGATATACTTTGCCCATCTGTCAACAAGCTTTCATATTCCCTTATTAAAAAAATGTTTTAGGCTGAGCTGTGAACCACAAATGCACCGCTGTCTTCACTTCATCAGAGGTGAATCTGCATCCTTAAAGGGGTGCTTTTAGGGGGCCAAATAGGTGAAAGTCTGACAGAGCAAGATCAGGACTATAGGAAGGATGCTTTAACACCTCAAAACAAAGTTTTTGCAGAGTGTCAATAGTATGAGCAGAGGTGCATTGTCATGCAAGATCACAATGCCCTTGGATACCAGTTTAATCTGAAATTTAGTCTTCAGCTCTTCAGTGAGCATCTCATTGTAATGAACACTGTTGATTGTTGAACGTTTTTCATTGAGAATCCCAGAAAATTGTAAGCATCAATTTTTCAACTGATAGTTGACTTGAATATTTTTTTGATTGGCAGTTGGGGATGTTTCCATTTCATACTCTGCCATTTACTCTCAGTTTTGTAGTGATGAATCCGTATCTCATCACCAGTAACTTTTTTTTTTAATTGTGAACTGAGTGATAGTTTACATGGAAGAACATTGGCTTCACACCATCGTTTCATTGCAATGATTACAATCTCCTCCATGAATCATCATTCAACAGTATGTGCTTTTTATTCCCTCTGGGGTTTTTTTTGGAGCGGGGAAGATGTACACAAAAACATATAATCATTTAAACCACCAAAGGGCACATTCTACAAGCCTGCCTCCTGGCCGCCAGCACACAGCCTTTTTCTTTCCATGAGTCTAGAGTCCTCAGCTTCTCCCTCTCTCCAGGTCCCCATCTCTGCCTCCATCTCTGGTGTCATTACTTCTCTGGATAGGGTCCCGCATTCCGCTTGTGCCCTTCTCCCTTAATGATCCTAGGGTCCTTTGATTCTGGACTGTAAGATTAACTACTCCACTGTTTTTGAGCAATGGTATTTTTAAAGAAACTTTTACCTTCCTTTGAGTATTGGTCAAAATTTTGTTTTGCAGATGCACAAACGCTTCTGTTTATGCTCTTCCATGAGTTGTTCTGGTACCCATTTCACACAAACTTTTCAAAAACCCAGTCTGTCATGAGTTATTTTGTAGGCAGAGCCATGGCTGATTTGCAGATAGTTTGCCACATAATCCACTGTCACTCACCTACTGGACAGAATCATTTCATGTGCACACTCAGTGTTGTCATCAGCCCTTGGACATGATGGGCATTTTAATATAACCGGGGTACGGATCATTTTGATCCATATTCTTCCATTGTTAACATGCACATCTAGATGTATACAACTGAATGCTGATGAGTCAACACACAGAACTCATAGTGATTTGCCAAGAGCTTGATGAGCTCACCTACCACTCTCCAACACTGGCTTTAGGAAGCAGTGACTAACATAGCAATAGTCTCATGTCATTTGTTGGGTGGGGGGCAGGGGTTACATTTAGCAAGGAGAGGAGCATCAACTTCCACCCTCTCATTGAACAATACTGATTTGTTAGTGTGAGATTGAAAAGACCAGGCATTCCTCTGCAGTGTGATAGGTGGGTGGGCATATTAAAGAGGGAATCTTGGGAGAAGGGGGCAAGAGAGACTTTCATGGAGTTGTAAGTAGGATTGGGTCTGTGTGACACACTCCTTGCCTTAGTCAGAGGGAAGGTGAGGTAGGGGGATGACTCTGGCCAGTCCAGCTTAGCAGAAAGGAGTAACCCTCTGCGCCCCCACCTGGTTCTGACTGATACAATGTTAATCATGGACCTTGAGCTCATACTTTTGTAGCAAAGTAGCTGTAAAGCATAATCAGCCATAGTCCATGTTTCACACCTGTAGGTGGACCCCTGTCCATTTGAGTGTAAGTATATTTTGCCTGCACACAGTCATATTTGTTGTTGTTGTTAGTGTCACTGAGTTGGTTCTGACTCATAGCAACCCTGTATAGTGTTTTCAAGAAGTGGCTGGTGAGTTTGAACCACTGGACTTGCAGTTCAGACTGACCTTGTGATCCACTTTAACCCTGTCTAACTTTGAGGAATGTTTTAGGTTCTTTCAATAGCCATTGTCATGCCTTTTGTAAAAATACACACATTGTAATACTCTGTTGTTGTTAAGTGCCATGGAGTTGATTCCGACCCATAGCAACCCTATATAGGGTTTCCAAGGAGCAGCTGGTGAGCTTGAACCACCAACCTTGCAGTTCAAACAGCTTTGTAGTCTGATGCATTAACCCACAGCGCCACACCAGGCATCCATTGTAACACCCTAAATACCCTAAAGTAAAATTGTTTACAATTTTACTAAATTTGTCAGAGTTTGAACAAGTCAGTTAGAAATGCATCTTAATTTTCTGCAAGTTAAGACATTTGGGATATTGTTGTTAAGAGCCTTCAAGCAAGGTTGACTCAGCAACCCTGTATAAAGTTTCTATGGAGCAGTTGCTGGGTTTGAACTGCCGACTTTGTGATTCAGACTGACCTTGCAGTCAGTGCTTTATCCTACAGCACCACACCAGGACTTCATTTGGGATATTAGTGGTAAAAATAACTAGTAACTGTTGACTAATGGTACAACCCCCAGTTCATGACACTTGTGAAACATTCAGACTTTGAAAACCTGATTACTGGATAGATTATTCAAGGGAGGAAGTCAATAATATGAACTTACTTGTGGGTGGGAAAAGATTTCATTTCCAATAGGAGCCAGTGGTCCACTGATTCTGCACAGGGCTATGATTGGGCCATTCTGTCTGAAGTCAGCTTTCTGATTACGGTTGTCTATCCCAAATGGCGCTAGCAGACTTACTGCTACTTTCAAATTCTGTTGGAATAAATATTTAGAAATAAAATTGAAATTTTCCGAACATGGAAAGATGATCCTGCTTTTAAATGATCTGCTTTTTGTTAATACAATTGTTATTGTCAAGCAGTTGAATCCTGTTTGTATCTGTTTTTGCTTCTTTTAGCTGTTGGGTTAATGTTGCATGTAAGCTCCTGTTGTCATTTCTCACCACTTCCCCTTTCAGCTCCGAGCTTGCTGGGTTTGTTAAAAAAGTGCGGACCAAGAGCTCACTTTTAGGACTGAGTATTGATGAAACTGTCGGGAGAGTGATAGAGCACATCCTAGCTGAACAGAAGAAAAAGGTATTTTATCCAGACATGATACAGTGTTCTACTTGATCCTTATTTATAAAATATGAGATTTGGTGTGGTTGTTTAAATGTTTTAAACTAAAATGTGGAGCAATTCACTACTAAAGTTCACTGAACTTTGTGCTGTCTTCATCCCCCATTGTCTCTGTAGCCAAATGCAGGGACAGATCAGAAGACCCCTGACCTCAGCTCTGCTGCACCTGTGACAAATCAGAAGACCCCTAAAGCCAGCTCTGCTACTCCCATGACCAAGTCCTCTAGGAGTCAGCCCTCAGCACCTGCCGGAGCATCCCCCAAAACCCAAAGGCAGAAACGAGAAGATGGGAGTGTGGTGTGTGTTACTGTATAGTTATTGTCTTAATGTTTTTTTGTTTTTTTTTTTTTAAATAGGAAGAACAAAAAGGAAAAGAAGTTTTTATTCCATCATTTAGCCCCATTCTTAATCAATTCTGTTAAGTGCCATTGAGTTGGTTTTGACTCACAGCCACCCTATATAGGGTTTCCAAGGAGCAGCTTGTGGGTTTGAACCACCAACCTTGTGATTAGCAGTCCAGTGCTTATTTGATCCTGAAGTGAACAACCAAAGTTTAGAGGTACTCAAGTGTGTCCAGTTAGAACACTAGTCAGCAGAAGGACAGGGTTTTGGTTGCTGCATGGTTTTGGGGACCCACACAGAAAGAGGTGCAGGCACACAGGGCTCAGAACCACTCTGACCAGACCCTGGGACAGTGCCCCTGCCACCCTGTCCTTGTTTTGTTGTAGTCAAGTGCTTTAGTTTTTATATTGCGTGTGGTGTTTTGAATAGTTTTCTTGGATGTGAACAGGGCTCTGGAGTCACACAGACCTTCGTCCCGTCATTAATAACACTGTGAGCCTTGACATAGGTGTTAGCTTCTCCAGGTCTTCAATTCCTCGTCTGTATATAAAGGAGCCCTGTCCATTTGCCCTGCAGCAGCAGGATAATGGACTGGACCACAAGGTCGGCGCTTCAAACCTACCAGCCACTCCTCGGAAACCCTAGACAGGGCCGCTCTGAGTCAGAATCGACTTGACAGCACTTAACAACTTCTGCCCAGATTATTGTCTATATTAATGCCACAATAGCCTCACCAAGCCCTGTGCTTCTTTCCATCCCTTTAAGTGCCCTGGAGCTGTGTGCCATCCAGTCAGTTCTGACTCATGGCGACCCTGTATAGGGTTTCTGAGGAGTAACTGGTGGGTTTGAACTGCTGACCTTATGATTCAAACCGAACTTGTGGCCCAGTACTTATCCTGCAGCATCACACCATGACTCCATACTTTTTTGTTGTTAAGTGCTGTCAAGTCAGTTCTGACTCATAGTGACCTTATATAGGGTATTATATGTTGTTGTTGTTGTTGTTAGGTGCCATCGAGTTGGAACCGACTCATAGCGACCCCGTGCACAGCACAATGAAACAATATCCGATCCTGGGCCAACCTAACTACCGCTGCCACACTTGAGTCCATTGATGCTGCCACCTGGTCAATCCATCTCATTGGAGGTCTTCCTCTTTTTCTCTGACCCTCTACCTTACCCAGCATGATATCCTTCTCCAGTGACTGTTCCCTCCTGACAATATGTCCAAAGTATGAGAAGGGGAGGTTTGGCCATCTTGGCCTCCACTTCTTCCAACACAGATCTACTGGTTCTTTTGACAGCCCATAACACTTTTAGTATTCTCCTCCAACACCATAATTCAAAGGCATCAATTCTTCTACGATCTTCCTTATTCACTGTCCAGCTTTCGCATCCATATGAGCTTATTGAAAATACCATGGCTTGGGTCAGGCGCACCTTAGTCCTCAAGCTGACATCTTTGCTCTTCAACACTTTAAAAAAGTCTTGTGTAGCAGATTTGCCTAATGCAATACATCGTCTGATCTCTTTAATGCTGCTTCCATGAGTGTTGATAGTTGATCCAAGAAGAATGAGGTCCTTGACAACTTCAATCTTTCTCCATTAATAAGAATGTTGTTTGTTTGTCCAGTGGTGAGGATTTTTGTTTTCTTTACATTGAGATGTAATCTATACCAAAGGCTGTGCTCTTTGATCTTCATCAGTAAATGTTTTAAGTCCTCTTCACTTTCAGCAAGCAAGGTTGTATTATCTGCGTATCGCAGGTTGTTAATGAGTCTTCCTCCAATCCTGATGCCACGTTTTTCTTCATAGAACCCAGCTTCTTGTATTATTTGCTCAGCATACAGGTTGAATAAATATGGTGAAAGAATACAACCTTGTTGCACACCTTTCTTAATTTTAAAACATTCAGTGTTCCCATGCTCTGTTCAGACAACTGCTTCTTGGTCCAGGTACAGATTCTTCATGAGCACAATTAAGTGTTCTGGAATACTCATACTTTGCAATGTTGTCCATAGCTTGTCATGATCCACACAATCGAAAGCCTTTGTGTACTCAGTAAAGCATAGGTAAACATCTTTCTGATATTCTCTGCTTTCAGCCAAGATCCATCAGACATCAGCAATGCTATCTCTCATTCCACGGCCTCTTCTGAATCCGGCTTGAACCTTTGGAAGTTCTCTGTCAATGTGTGATTGTAGCCATTTCTGTATTACCTTTAGCAAAACTTTACTCGCTTGAGGTATCAAAGAGATTGTCTGATGATTTCCACATTCCGTTTTCTCTGCTATTCATAAGGTATTCAGTGACTAACAATTCGGAAGTAGTTCATCACTCTTTGTTCCTAAGTCTGTCTTTGTCTGGAAGCTCATCTATATATACCCTATATAGGGTATATATAGATGGTATGGAATAAATCATCATGTGTAGTATTTTATTCAAGAGCCTGTTAACCATATAAAAACCACATAACATTTTTTTCTTCGAGAAAATTAGAACTTGGAAGTATACTTTCTTGTGTCTGTGTGTATGTATTCTTCCCTCTTTCCCAAAAGACATGTGATTAACAAATGAGTCGTTTCCTTAGACTGCTTAGCTGAATTGGGGAATAATTTTCCACCAGAGTGGCAAAATTATCACTTCTAGTAATAGCTGATGTAGTTAGTAATTATTAATATTTCAGATTTTTCCCCCCACAGGCATCAGCTACAAATTCCTGTGAAATATGCCATAAGGCACTGAAGTTGAAAAATCCCTGTGTGCTGAACTGTGGGCATAAGGATTCTCTCTAGCCATTCTTTCTAACTTATGGTGACTATGAGATGCTTTGGGAAAAAAAAAAGGGACTTTTTTTTGATAGTACTAGTTTTCTGAGACATTTCCTTTGTAATGTCATTGTTCCTGTGTCATTGTTCATTGTCTTTATTCCAAGAGAGGAGGGAACAAGGACTCTTGGGTCCTGAGGTGTGTGAAGTTCTGTGGAATGCCCTTTCCGCCCATCATTATCAGGATAGAGAAAGCAGTTGGCTATGTGGATTGTATTGTAAAAGTAGTATTAGTTCTTTGACAGGTGATATCTCAGATACATGGATAAATAGTGCAACAGTTTGTCTATCCATGCATTAAATTAATTAGGCTTGATACTTTAGAGGAGAAAAAAATAAACCTTACTATGTCCACTGTGCCTGATCCTCAGAGACCCAGGCTCTTGCCCTTCCAAGATTTGTGCATAAGTTTGGATGATGATTCACATTTGTTCTGCACCCTTACAGCTGCTTAGAACATGTCTTGGTCTTGTTGGCCAGCTCATCTCTGGGAAAAGGGATCATGGCTTCAGAACAGTTCAGTCAGACATGGCAGATGGAAACAAGGACAGCGGTGCCTCCACTCAAAGCTGGCAGCCAACTGTACCATTTGAATGTGTTGGTCAGCCAGCCACCCTCTTTGAGCAGGGAATTGCTGTACATTTCCTACTAGGGTCAAAATCCAACGTGCAAGAGTTTTAATTGCTGCATTGCCCTTGTTTCCATCAGCCGTGACTGAACCATTTCAGACCAGTTTGAAAAGGGATACATCCAGCACACTCACTGGAAGGAATCATGCCAAGAGCTGGCAGAGTCTCCTTCAAATGTCTTGGGGTCTGGTGACTAGCTCTCTCCTCACAAAGCTCTATGCACATCTGGCTGCATAGCCAGGAGCAGTTTGGAGATGCAATGGGCAGACAGCAAATGACAAGGCCTGCCATGTACTGTACTGGTGGACAGATGGGCAAGATTCAGGACCTGAACCCAGCAGAGGACAGAGACTGGGAATCAGGCAATTATGTTCAGGGGCCAGAAAATACTGGCCTTTAGAATCAAGACAGCTAAAGCTGGAGAGCTAAGACTGACGCTGGTCTAGGACTGGGTCTTGGGGGATAAGAGTGGAGAGTACAAGTCATCTTCCTGAGGTCAAGTGGGAGACATGGAGTAGTCATGGGTCCAGTTCTGAGGTTGATTTGTCCTGAGGCTCTGTCCACATTCCCAGCCTGAGCAGGCATTGGGCCACTGGACAGCTCCGGGCCCCGCTAGGCCTGCCCAAGGATCGTTAGCAGTGAGGACTGTGGCACAGGAGAGCAAAGGTTCACCATGGTGGTCCCAAAGGCCACAACTGATTTTGCTTCCTTTTTCAGTGCTGTAAGCAGCGACTTAAAGGACAGAGCACTAGCCCAGCGTGCTGTCATCAAGATCTGTGAGGACCCCAGCCTGCAGTTTGTGGAAGAGGTCCTCCTGCTAGTTACAGCTCATAGCGAGGGATCAACTGGCCCGTGGACCTGGCAGAAGACTAGCCTACATCTGACAGAAGATGCACACTCGTGCTGTGTGTCATTGAGCTGTTACATGCGCGTCTTCTACAGCTGACATTGAATAAACCCCTCTGGCCCCCTGTGAGCCCCCAGTTACATTTCTCATTGTTATAGTGTTGCTGCTGCACTAGGGGGTTCTATGGAAAGTGTTGTGAGTATCCCAAAGTCATGTGTGAGTCAGCGTTCTTTACCTGTTAAAGTGCCCCAGTTCCCCTTCTGTGTTTGAAAACTTGTTCTAGTGACTCCACAGAGAAATTTTTTTCCAGGATTCATTATACCTGAATATATGCCTGTTTTTCTTCAAAGATTCTGCATTTAAAAATGAGCTTAAGCAAACCACATTTTAAAAATAATTGAAGAATTTGTAAATGTATAGCTAGTTGAATATTGATGGGAGACCAAAAGATTTTCAAACCTCCTCTTCTTGAAATTATGTGCTTTTAATTTTTCACTTCACTAAATTTATTTCCCTCAATAGATTTTCAGAGTATTTCTCATCTTTCAAAAATATAATCTTGACTTTTCTTTTTGAGTAAAAAAAAAATGTTATGTGTATTAGCAAAGACCTTTTTCTCCCTAAATTCGAGGCTATATATATTCATTTTACCAACCCCATATTTAGTACTGACTCTTTGAATGTTGTAACAATCTAATTAGCAGCACCTGCCCTTCTTCATGAGTCAACTGGTCAGGGGTTTGGGCGTCAGGCCCAGCACCCCTCCCACCACGAGCCCCTCCTCTTTCACCATCAAGAAGACAAACGTGTAATCAGACAGTCCTAGTGTCCCTGTACAATCATGGCGTTTGACATCTGTGTAAACTAGTGCATGCTAAGCTGTACTGTGATCTGAGAACTGTAACTGTTAAAACTGTGACAAAATTACATGTCTTCTAGTGATGTGTTGACGGTGCATATAGAAACGTGAATTCTGTACACATTCCATTTCTCTCAAACAAAGATCAAAAGTATATGTGTTCTCTGTTCCATTGGAAACCAGCAGTCATACGTTTATGTCCTGATCTCGTCACTGTCCTCTGCCCTGTTCAATGTAAATGGTGATGTGTTTTGTGTGTTCATCTCTGGGCGCACTCTCATTATTTCAAAACAGGTTCTCCCTGCAGGTTCTCAAAGCACTGTGTACTTTCATGTTGTTGATAACTGTAGATTTCTAAACACTTAGGGAACAGTGTGTAGTCGCACGTACAGTGGGAAAGAGCAGTTATAGAGTCATCCTGTATTTTGTACATTAACTTCAAGTAAATTTTTGTGAACATGCCTTACATATGTGTAGTAACATTCCAAATAAAGAGCATTAAAAAAAGAATAGCAGCTTACTGACATTTTGTTCATTGTTTTTTAAAATTCAGGCCTGTGTGGTACGCAACACAGTTTCCAAGGAGCTGCTTGTAGCAGTCTGGTGCTTACCCTACAGCGCCACACTGGGTCTCCTTATAATGAGTCTTTATAACCCCTACATTCATTAAAAGATGACGTCATATGGAAAAAAGAACCATTTTAAATCTGAAGAACCTACCTCACGGTCTTGAACCATTTTAGAACCTGAGTTAACATTATTTTATCCCCCAAAAGGGTTTCTAAGTTCAAGTTCCTTCACTGTTCTCTGAAATAGACTGTTTAAATCTGTGAATACAAAGTTTATACAGGGATGAAAGAGTTTACCGTGTTAGGCTAAAGAAAAGATTTTTCATGTGAAGATAATCAACAATATCAATTTTCTTGGAGATACATGTAGGTTCCTGGCCTATTGAAGCTGACCAATAGGACTCTCCCCTGTTAGATGACCTTCTGATACAGAGAACACTAAAAGATTATTGAATAAAATCTTAAAATATTTATATTCAAGTCTTTTCCAAGTATTTCTAGTAAATATTTTTCATCTGATGGGGCACCATAATTCAATATAACGGATACTTTAGAGTGATGACTACTCCTGAGACTTTAATTGTTTTTTTTTCCTATTAAACTGCCTATGAAAAATGTTGTTGTTGTTTTTAGGTGCCATCGAGCAGGTACCGACTCATAGCAAACCCGTGTACAACAGAACAAAACACTGCCCGGTTCTGGGCCAACCTCATAATTGTTGACACACTTGAGCCCATTGATGCTGCCACTTTGCCAACCCATCACGCTGGGGATCTTCCTCTTTTTCTCTGACCCTCCATCTTACCAAACATGATATCCTTCTCCAGCGACTGGGCCCTCCTGACAATATGTC